GTGTCTATTTATTACCTTCTTTCCTCATCTTGCAATTTTCCCTCCCAAATTAACTTTCCAATAAATACTGTCAAAAGTCTCACCTTAACTAGGCTATCTGTATCCCGATCCCCATAATATGACTCGTGCTCATGGTGCCCATGATCCTCTCTGTGTCAAACAAAAACCCAACAGCAAACCAAAGAAGAAATTTAAATAAGATATAAGCTGATAATTACAGAAAAGTATGCAAAATGAATTAATTATTTAGAAAAGAAAATTCATATAAATGTACTGAAGTCTTCATGTAGCACAAGTGATAAGACAAAGCAATTTGTTTCAACAGAAGGCATTATTTTCACAAAGCAGCTGCCCATACAAAAGAGACCACTAACTGTTGTTGGTCATCGCCTTTTACCCCTGCTCTAGGTGATGGCACTCCTAAACGGAAGGATAGTTACCAAAGGATCACCATAATTAAGAAAAAGCTAGACAGTATACCCTGCTTAGTAGTAGGTTGGCATGTTAAGTCCAGTTTATAGTCCAGCACCAATTTCCCCTTATAAGGTTAAAAGCTGAATTTTGAATTTACAGGTACTGTTAAAAAAAAGCGTCTAAAGATAACTCTATTCAAGTAAGAACAAATCTGAAAGAATTACAGAAAAGTCTGACAAGAATTGGCAAAAGAGTCAACTATTTACCTGACATCACTTCCCTTGCGGAAGATGCGAATAGATGGATACCCTTGTATGTGATTCCTGAACATTCATCAATAAGAGACTCTTTAACCAAAGGGAAGAAAGGGCCAAGGAAAAGCACCACGGCAAGAAAAGTAACATTAGCAACTGATCGCTGGTTCAACAATTCAGAAAGGCATTAGGCTTGCTGGCATGAATCAAAACTGCATGGGAATATGGGTTTACATGGGGACTCTGACTCTATATGAGGCAAGCACTCTGACTCTATATGAGGCAAGCACTAAAGAAAAATGCAGACAGATATACGAAGTCAAAATGCCAAAATGATTGTCAAGCAAGATTTTGGTCATGGTAATATCTCTGCAGAAATCAATGCCAAGTAGCAATATGAAGCAAAATCATTCTAGCAACTAAGTGTGCTCATGAGCAAGTAATTTTATCCATTCTAGTATAATCATGCCTCCATCTTAACATCATCATCTATAATACGGCAGTATAGTTTGACATGTTGCTAAATTCCATGCCTCTGCAATCTTGCTGTTATGAAGCAAAATTCTTTGGTTTTTATCCTTCATACACTTAAATTGATTCAGATCTCTTTTTCATTTTAGTTGGTTGAGAAATTATGTAAGTAAATTTCTCTACAACTTAATGTAGCAACATAATTATACCACTTATCATGAGCCAATTCATGCCCAAAAGTGCCTACAACCACACTCTTCAATCTTCCTCTTCAAATACAGAAACAACACTTCTACTTTATAAAAGAATTATAAAACATGAGGATCAATCAAAGTCAAGACACTCCATATGTAAACAAAAATAAGAAAAAGCTTCTACATAACTGACAAATAATTTATTGAAAAAGCAAAAGCTTTATCAAAAAGTACCTTCTACACAACTCAACTTCTTCAGTGCAATCAACCTTTCCCAAAAGAATACGTCCATCAAATTCTGGGTCATATCTAAAAACGATTTGTAGATGAGCTTTTGAATGGAATAATATCAATATAATATCCATTTTCACAATGTAGAGAATACTGTGAACACGGTCATATTTTCAGTCTAAAAAAAAAATAAAATACAGCAAGAATTCAACCTTTCTCTTATAATTTTGGCTGCTTTCTCCCATGAAGGTTTCTGAAACAACCATTGAGAAAGAAAAGTGTTGGTCAATCTATAATCATACATTAATGTTCTCATTCATTGCAGGAGTGAACAGCTCAAATAGATGAAAATTGAGTAACACTGCCAGCAAGATAGAAAAAGATATAATTTACCAAGCGGTTGCTCCAGTAGCACCAAGGCGCATAGAAATTTACTACCAAAATAGGGTGCCTGTCAAAGCAATATTTTGAATTATCAGAAGTCTACTGCATGAGTAAACATTAAAGATAGGAATCAGAACTCAAGGCCGTCAAGCACAATCCACTTACTGATGTGAAACTCTGTCAAAATTGTGTGAATTAAGTGTAACAGCACCTTCACCATGTTCTTCGTCAACTTCCTCGTCGTGCTTTATTGCTGTTGAAATTTGTCCCGATTGAAACTCAGAGCCAGTGGGCTTTAAGTTTGAATCTATCGAGTACTTGCGGACAGTTTTAGTTATATTTAACCTATTCTGGAAAAAAAAAAGAAACCAGTTCAGCAATATACTAAATGAACATGTAGCAAAATGAAATTTTTTGACAAAATAGAAACCATAGAAGAAAATGAGCTATTTATTAAATTTCTTGTCCTCTTCAATACATGAAGAAAAAAGATATATACGTGGAGGAATCAATGGATGAAACTTACCGTTCCCAAGACATCACTGACATCAATGGATGCAAATTCACAAGATAGTGCTGGAAAACTACCAGATAATATAAAGAAATCGTCAATATCGATTTAATGGAAAGACAGACTAGAAAGTGAAGAAATCAATTAGTTGAAGCACAAAAGAGAGACATAAGGAATGGCTACCCAAAGAAAAATTCCAGTTTAATACAATAATGTATCCACGATAGAAAGAACTTTATTAGCCAAAGGGCAATAGAAAATTCCATTCTGTCTCTATAAGATAGAGCTTCAATCTAAGAGGACGATAGAATCAAGAGTATCAAAAACAGAGAAAAATATAGGATCATAAACAGATTATCAGCTTCAATCTAGTCAGAAAATGAAGGATTGAAGGTGGCATTTTTTAGAGACATCTATTAGTAAAGTTTTCTAAAAGTCTGTGGAGACTTTTGAGTAAAGTAAATAGAACAAAATAATGGAATATACTAGGCTGCATGGATACCCTTCCAAAACCGACAATTAAGCATCCGACGCATACACGACAGACGACACCGACATGTTGCCAACACGTGTCGGAAACCCCAGGTGACGTGCTCAAATTATTTTTGACTTTGTACAATTAGACACATTACCGACAAGCATTGTGTCAGACTCGACATGTCACCAACATGTCTGGCATGTCCAAATTATTTTTTTATTTTGTAGAGTTAGACACATCATCAACATATTGCCGATACATTGGAAAAGATATTGTGTTGAATACCAACGCGTTGCCGATCTATGTCGAAAATGACAACGCGTGTCAACATTAATTTTTTGGTTTTATAAGTTGGCCGTGTCATGAACTCATTGCTGATATGCTGAAAAAGATATTGTGTCGGACATCAACACGTCGCCGATCTATTCGAAAATGACACTGGCATGTCAAAATTAGTTTTTGGTTTTGTGAGTTGGCCGGGTCATCGACACATTGCTGACACACTGGGAATTACATTTTCAACATGGCAAAATTAACAGAAACAAATTTAATTTACAAAATAAAAATGAAAAAAATATAATTTTAATTGTGTCAGCACTTTTTATTTTTTCGAAAATTGCTTGTAGAAAGAGGCTGAGGAATGAGAGATGCTGTGATTTCAAGTTTTGGTTCCTAACTTCTAGTTTTATACATGATAATGGAAGCAAACTTTGATGTAACAATATCTATATTATAACTGGTGAGGAAATAATTATCAATTGTAAGGTTTCAACAATGAAATAAAGGAACTTGTCAGTTACCAAATAGGTTGCTGCTGCAGTTAAGTGCATTCAGAATTCCCATAATTCATTTTTCACTATTTTCCATTTCCAAGTTTGACTTAGGAATACCTATATTATGACTGGTGAAGAAAAAATGGTATTTTAGGGTCTCAATAATAATTATGAAAGGCTCATCAGTTACCAAATAGTTTTGTTGCTGCAGTGAAGTGCATTCAGATTTCCCACAATGCATTACTCTTCATTTAAAAACTAAAAAACAAAATGAGAAAAAGAATGTATAATAGAGTTGTAATATTTTAAAATAAGAATAATACACTTAGAGAGAGGAAAACATCCTCTCCCATATTTCGAAAAGAAAGGTGAAAAAGAGAACAAATGGTTGTGAATGGCCCGCTGATATACCACTTGTTTTTATGAATAAAGCAAGCCTACAATCTAACTAGTCTCACACTGAGCATACGGAAAGGGCAGGCGTAAGCAATAAGAAAAGCTACGTGTGAAAATATTTCCCATGCCATATTCACCTGATTTTAGATATTATTAACCAAGCAAATTTTACCTCAGATTGAAATCAATTCGTAAGAAGTCCCCATCAGAACTCTTGTCAACAATAATTGATGTAGAGGTACTCACTGTCAAATAATCATTTAGTTCCTGCATATAACACAAGAACAGCCTATAACTGAAAGCAAAACATACAGTGTAAAGCAATCTTTGCTGAATAAATTTAGATAATGATAGCAATATTTATTTTGTGATAAATCTATCTGCTCAAAAAGCTGTTAATGATTGACCAGGAAGGAGTCAGCTTCCTACCATTCCAAATAGAAAGATCATGCAAAAGGCAGCTATAATTGACAGCCCAGCACCTGATAAAGATGCTTCAGTCAAATCTCTGGGAATTTTTCTGCAAAGAAAAGGGAAAAAAAATAAGAAACTCCAAGTGCCATCAAATGTTAGTATGCAGCATCATTAGCAACACAACATTTTCATTTAGTGTCAATAAAACCGAATTTGGAATACTGAATTTGAATTCTATTACTCTTAGTAGCCCTTCCTCTTTAATTCAAAATTGACAGCCCAGCACCTGATAAAGATGCTTCAGTCAAATCTCTGGGAATTTTTCTGCAAAGAAAAGGGAAAAAAAATAAGAAACTCCAAGTGCCATCAAATGTTAGTATGCAGCATCATTAGCAACACAATATTTTCATTTAGTGTCAATAAAACCGAATTTGGAATACTGAATTTGAATTCTATTACTCTTAGTAGCCCTTCCTCTTTAATTCAAAAGTTCGCTAAATAGAATTATATTTTGAAAGGATTAAAGGAAAGAGGTCAACAACTAAGCTTGCCAATATTTCATTTTTCATCTTTCTCCTTCACAAATAAAATTTCAATCATGAATCACAAATATTTATAGCTTGTATAACTGTACGTCTGTCTATGGATGACTGTGGTTATCAAAAGATAGTTTTCCTCCAAGTCCACAAAAAGTGACAGTAGGTTTGGGACTGTCTCCTACATTCTTGAAACTCTTATCATATGGCAACAAACTAGGCTCAGCTAAATTCAGCCTCTTGCTTTGAGATGCAATAAGCTATCTCCTAACATCAAGATATTTCTAATCACTTCATGAAATGCATCACAATTGATCTTATCAAAACCAAGTATCGCTCTATTAGGGAACAGATTGAAAGGAGCTACCCAAGTTCTAAAATTTCCAGCAAAACAGCCTTAACCAGAGAACAATCCATGGAAATTACATCTCTCTGTCATGGAGTGGGCCAACTTTGATGGCTTTTAACAGTGGATGACCAACCTTAATGCCATCGTCGGACACAATGTACCGAGAGAGAGAGAGAGAGGTCAATTCGGAATGTATATTTAAGATCTTTTTAAGCATGCAATATTTGTCTTAAATGTTAATAAACAGTCTGAAGATGGGTATGGCAACTTAAGATACGATCAAGATACACGCGCCCCAAAAGTTCCTTTGCAACGTCTAAGTACTAGATCTAGAATACAAGGAAATGTGGAAAGCGTAACAGGCATGAAAAATTATTATTAAAGCTGCAGACATTCAAAGTAATATTACATCGTTAAGAAACAACACAGAAAAAGAAAATTGTTCCTGGCAAAATTGCAGACCAGGAAAAAAAATGAAAGCATTACTAAAATGATAAGATATGGCAAGGGCATTTGAGGAAAATCTGGTTGTTTGACAGTAAAAATATTCCACCAAATTAAAGATGGTAAAATGGTAGTTATAAGACAACGACTATATTACCAAATTCCTCAATTGTCAATCTAGGCCATTTACTTGATACCAATTATTTCCGATTTAATCCTAAAAATCCAGAAAATTTGCAACTTATTATCTTATTTGTTTTTTTCAGGTCCACCAATGCACCACACCGTAGACTACATTGTTTTGACTAAATAAATTTACAGCCTACGGCATCAAACAATCCCATTTCCAGGCATCCCATTTGAATAGTAAAATGGCATTTTCAAGTGAATTTATCCCAATTCACCGGACCGTATACCAAGTTATGTAAGTTTTTAACTGGATCCTCTCACGAACTCACCAAGTGCAGAATCATGTTACATTCACTGCGAACCACAATCCAACACCTAAGCACGATAAATAAAACAGTGCAACTCATCCAAAAATAATTACAGAATGAACCAAAACGTAGAAAAACATAGACTAACATTCACGACACAACAAATAATTGATGGGCTTTAGGGCAACAAATGATCCCAAAATTAGAGATTCATCACACGAAATTTGACAACAAAGCCTTCCAAACAAATTCATAAAAATAAACAAATAGAAAAAACTGTTACCTGTAAAAATCAACGGATTTGATTTTACTAGTCGAAACCATGGCTATTCTCCAGTACTCTGGAGAGTGTTTGAAACTGATAGATCTACAATAACGAGTCAATGAAATCTGCAGTCTATTAATATTTATACACAGCTGCAAAATTAAATGTGTAATTATTAATTCCGCTTAAGGGTTTTAAGCAGATTGTTCAATGTGTATCAATTCGCTAAAGCAGAAATGCTGGTGACTGAAATTAATGGAGAATCCCGAAAATTAGATTTGGGTGCGGATTGGTGCAGGGAAATGTGGCGTGAGATTTGTGAAGTGCGTGAAAAAGAGATCACTTTTATATATTACTTTTATCTTTTATCTGTATTTTTCTTCTGAAAAAAAATCCGTCGGTAAATAATAACATTAAAGAAAATTAAATAAATAAAAATTAATCTTTTAGTTAGTAATAGCCATTGTTTAATTCCCTTTAAAATTTTAATACATTTTTATCATCCTTCTTTTCAACCACACATTTTTTAATATAATAATATTAAAATTAAATCAAAAAAAAATTCCTTACTTTTAACCACATATTCTTCCAAAAAATTACTATTCCACAATATATTTTACCCAAATTTTTCATTATAATGGGTGTCAAGCAAGGGCATAGTAAAGCATAAATATTTTAACAAAATTAATTTATGAGATAAAATTTCATCAATAAATAAATTAATAAGAATGTAAATTAAAAGACTAGTCGAAATTTTGTTGGGAACGAAATAAAGTCGAAAATAACCTTATAAGTCAGTAATATTATAAAGAACGAGTGAAGAAACATTTTAACTTATTTGTCATTTTCTAATCAAAATAAAATATATAAAAGCAACATTTATGAGCGACTTCGAAGTCGTCTGTTGGTGAATCCCGATAATAAATTGTTATCAATAATCTTTGACGAATCTATATTGGTGATCACTAATAGTATTATGCCTCTCTTGACGAACTACCAGGTCATCATACACAGGCCACTCTTCGAGGCGCCAAAGTGCCTAACACATCAATATAAAGCAAGGCAGAATCCGAGGTGGATAGCGTTCAGTCCAAAATGGTGCAAAACAAAATCTGAGCCACAAGGCCCAAAATTTTTGGCATAAGATACGGATCTTTTCGGCAATGATCTATCTGACGAATCTATATTGGTGATCACTAATAGTATTATGCCTCTCTTGACGAACTACCAGGTCATCATACACAGGCCACTCTTCGAGGCGCCAAAGTGCCTAACACATCAATATAAAGCAAGGCAGAATCCGAGGTGGATAGCGTTCAGTCCAAAATGGTGCAAAACAAAATCTGAGCCACAAGGCCCAAAATTTTTGGCATAAGATACGGATCTTTTCGGCAATGATCTATCCAAAACAGGGGTCAAATGATCCCACAAAATTTTGGTTTTTTTAATTTTATTTTATTTAGAAAATGATTGTTTTAACTTGTTTTCAACCCACTTTAACACATACCTGAGAAGCACTGACACGGACACGAGTGTCCGACAGGCAATTTTTTAAACAAGTTCCGACATGATACGTCGTCGACACCTTGATAATAAAATTATTATTTTTAGTTTATTTTAATTTTATAGTGTAAAGTAATAATTTTTTATACTTATGGAATCATATATATATATATATATATATATATATATATATATATGATAAATAGAAATCAAACTTGACATTAAATTGATAAATGTTTCTTAATAACATTAACGCGAGTTCAAAAAGTAAAAACAAAATTAATTACATCATTCATCTTGAATCTCTTCAACATCTTCATCTCCATCCGCAAATACTATCGCCTCCAATTCCGTTCGTCTAGAGATAAATTAGCAACTTCAAGCACACCAACATCTTCAAATGTATCAAATGCATCTCCTCCGATATCCTACATTTTAGTCTCTCCTTGTGAGTATTGCGCACTCCTCCTTGACAAGAGACGAAGATTACTATAGACGAAAACCAAATCTTCCACACGTTTTGGAGTTAGCTTATTTCGTTTAAAAGAGTGCAAAAAAAAGAATAAGTACTCCAATTTCACGCTCACAACACGATGAAGAAGATGGTTGCCCCAATAATTTTAAGACATAACTAATTAAAAGAAATTAAAAGAAATGACAATTCATTAAATAACTAATTAAAAATATCAAAAATTATGAAAACTTAAATAAACAATATATGTATGAATTAGATTTAAAAGTTACCTTGGATTTAGAGAATGAGACAAGCAATGAAGTGGAGTGTTATTTTTGTTTCAACGATCTACAAGTATCCGATGAACAACATTGTAGAATGATGATTCCTCTTTTTAAACTTTTTTTTCATGCCTAAAAATTATTCATCTCACTTTCTCAATCATTGTATCCCACATGTCGTAAACCAAGTAAAGACAAGGTTTATCCATATCACAAAATCTAAGCATATCATAAATGTGAGAAGTGAAGGAAAGAACATAACTTATAGAGTCCCACCAAAAATCATCAAGCACTTTTAATTTTACAAAACTTGCCTTCGTCATGTCATCTTCTTGATAAAGTGACCATTTTTCACTAATAACCAAAGCTTGAAGACCACGTTGGATAAGCTTAAATCTTTTGAACATGACAATAATAGAAGCAAATCTTGTTTCCGCTACGGAAAGCAACTTCAAAGGTACAGATTCATTAAACATTGCTAGTCTCATGGAATGGTTCATGATAAAAAAATTTATAATCATCACATCATCATGAAGACTAGTAATCCAATTGCATTCCTCATATGTGATCAAATTATTTTCAACATTCTTTGCGGCACAAATGTTCTTCAAAGCAAGATTTAGTGTATGTACAACACATGGTGTCCAAAAAATATGAGGATACTCCAATTCAATTATTTGCCCGGCACCTTTGCAATTTGGAACTTTACCAGTTATTACTTGAATTACCTTTTCATGACCAATTTCATTTATAACATCCTTCATCAAGTTAGTAATAAAATATTTATCTCGATCAAACGCTTTTAAAAACATTGGTCCAACCTCGATCACCACCATAAAATTAATTAGTGGCCTTCTTTGTGGATCACTCCATCCATCACCTACAATGGTAACACCTTTTTCCACCCATGTGCCCTTGATTGGATTTAATAACCTTTCCACATTTTTTTCTCTCCTTTTGAAGAAGAGTAGTTCTCAACTAGTTATAACCGGGGGGCAAATGCCCGGAAATTCTACTATTGGAAGCAAAAGTATAAGAACTAATATAATAAGGATTTTTTGCAAGAGTAAAAGGCAAACCACTTGAATAAAACATTCTAGCAATTTCAAAATCCAATTGGTCACGTGTTGTCACATTAAAAGCATTTTCCATTACACTATTCTTTCTTTTCTTTTCCTCCAAAATATAACAATCCTTTGAACCCATATTATCCAATGGCAATGACACTCTTTTCCCCGCCTTAGTTTGCATTCTCAACTTGACTTCATCTTCCATTGTTTGCATTTCACATATATCTTTCATAGTTACTTTTCCACAAGCCTCAATTCCATAGCCTTTTAATTTTAACAAATGTGCCCTCACTCTTGTGTAAAAACTTGTCTTAGTTGCATTACAAAAATTGCATTGCCAAATAATGTTACCACCCTTTTGACTAAATTTATCAAGTTTTGTAACATATTTTCAAAGAGGATTAGACAAATCATCATTCATATCATTATCACTCATAACTTCAAAAGAAAAATAATTTCAAATACTTAAATAAGATAGGAGTGATATTACCTAAAACTTGGAAAATTTTCTTCTTCTTGATCTTGAAAATGATTCTTCAAATGAGGATTGAAAAAAATAAAAAAAATTGAAGTTTTCTTGCAATTTTTGTAACAGTGACCACTGGCCAAGGAAAAAATACCTTCTTATATAGATATGAATTATGTTGAGGGGTAAAATTGTACAATTTCATTCAATCAAAATATTATATATTATTTAAACAAAAGTTGCAGGCATTGAAAGGTACAAAAAATATATAAAATGGTACAAGATTTTACAATGGTGGGCCTTACAAATTAAATTATTCATTGGTATAGGAGATTTTCATTATTTATAGCCGTCCATTCTTCTTCTTTATTTTTTTTCTTCTTTGATTTCTTTTCTATTCTAGCTTCTTCTCTGATTTCTTTCCTGCTCCAGCCGTCTTCTACTCTGACTTCTTCAGTTCTATAGGTTCCAATGTTCCATTTTCAGGCAAGGTCTCTTCTTCTTCTCTGTTCTTTCTTTTTTTCTTTCCTCTTTTTTATTCTTCCTTCCCAGACAAGAAATTGAACTCCGATTGTATTTCTTCCTCCAGCTTCGATTGCATTTCTTCCCTTCAACTTAGCTACCCAACAACTGTCCAACACACTGCAAACAACTCCGACACGCGTCGACGACGTGTCAGAGGCGTGTTGGTGTTCGATACGTGTCAGACATCAATATGCTGTCACCGGCAGCGTGTGGGTGCTACATAGATACATACCAAATAAAATTGAAATATTGCATTCTCAATATCATTTTTAAACGCACTTGACCTAGTTTTTTACTTCTTAATGGTGTGCGAAATGATCAACCATGGCAAAAGTTACGATGTATCAAAGTAGGCCGTTCCAAATTAGTATTTCGAAATTTTCGATAATATGCTAACTTTTAAAATTTGCCGATGATCATATTCTATTCAAATCTACAAATCGCTTGCATCATCTAGAAGTTCGTTACGAAAACTACATCGTAGTCATATCGAATTGTCCAAACAGATATCGAAAATAGTTAAATATGCATCAAACGTACGTATTAAAAGAGACGTTTAACTCGTCTTTTTAAAAAAAATCAATTATTTCATTAACGTTTATTATTTTTTCACGATAAATTTTTCAATATAATTTACATCATTAAATTAGGAATTTTTACATTAAAAATGATGTAAAAAAATCTAAAATCGTTATGGATTAAATGTAATTTGAATTACTTTCAAATTATTTTTCGTTAAACTTAAATTTCATTTACTTCTACATCCAATTTGATTTATTCATCATTCGCTCAACATCCATAAATGACATGGTAAACAAAATTATACATATAACAAAATTTATTTAACAATATTGATAATGATAGAATTATAAGACACTTTCAAGATGTCAAAATGCGTATTAACTTATTTTTGTAAATATTATATTGTTTTAAAAAATTACACATTAATTTTTGGAGCTAAGCACAACCCACAAGGATGACCTCGCAAGTGACCGCGTCCTCACATGTCCGGCGGGGTCCCCATGAATA